AACGTATAACATGCATTTCATACTTTCTAATTATACTGCTGAGAAAAACGTCACATTCATGATTCTGTAACAAAAAACTGTGCAAGCAGATTAAGAAAGCCAAATAGTGGTATACTTATATGCAGAATCATAACAAATAATGACAGTCGTTTTTGCTCTTTCAAAATTGCTAGATACAATAAACTCGGTAATGTAAATACATAGACGAAACCACTCAAAGCACCTGTAAACCGTATTATTGTACCAATATATGGAACAAAAACTGCAAAAAGAATGCATATGCATACTAAGATAATATTAACTAAAAGAACACAACCTGTATTAAATGTTTTACATATGGAAGAAAGCAATTGAATACGTAGCATGTAAGCAAGTAATGGATAAACTGTTAACAACTGGAAGAGTAGAACGATTCGTGCACCTACTGTTAAACCACTCCATTTTTGAAAGTTATTCAATAGATTCTGTAAAAAATAGTGAAATTATCATTGTCTAAAAAAGTTCATAATTGTATGTTAAACATTTTTTTAACTCACTTACATCTTCGATGCACGATTTACTAAGTGGAAAACATACATAAAACACTACACCAACTATAATGTAAGTTAGTGTGACAAGTGAATATGCAAATGAAAGATCTCTTCCCTGCAACATATAAGTATTGTTTTTAAAAAATCTCTGCGGAACCATCAATGGAGAACAATAATTTTTTAAAGGAATCAACATTACTTACATTTTTACTTTGATCATGATTATTTTGCATTATAGTAATTATAATGTTATGGATAAAGAATGACATTGCTAGCATCCCAGAAAGAGCAGGAAATGAGATCTTGAGTGTCCAACTAATTTCCCAATCTGATTGTTCCATGTTTACACCCCATGATGTAGTTTTCACCAAGACAAATGCAATTAAATATATAACTGATGCGGTTCCTGTGAGATATAAAGTTTTTGTAATTTTAAAGAGTAAAACAAACTTATATAGGATAAGTCATGTATATATTTGTCGCGATTTAAAAATGAAAGTAAGTTCGCCAATCACGTACATTTGAATACAATTTTTTATTGCAAAATGATTACAAGTTTTACTTACCAAGAGAATTGAATTTTGTAAAGAAAGTGGGGCTATTAAAATTCAAAATTGGAAATATTAATAAACCAAGAAATATAGGAACTGTTTTATATAAATCCCAAAATGGTCCTAAAGAGCTGTATGTATACTCATGAACTACAGTATTTGTACTATTGGACAGTTTCTTTGGACACAATATTTCTGATGAATAAGAATTATTGCTTACTAAAGATACATCAGTTTCTTTTATACTATCTGTGAAAAGTTATAAGAAGAAAATTAAGAAGGAAACGAACAATGAAAATTTTATTTCATACTTACCATATATAAAATTTACAGAATTATACAGAAAGTTAGACATTAGTATCCAATATGCAATAGTTGCACCAAGTAACACAGTAATGCTAAAAGATTTAGCGATATATTCTGCCCATTTATTCAAGTATACTCGGCTTAAATAAATTACTTCTACACCCTTATGCCCACCTTAAAACGTATATATAATTATAAATTAGTTATAATCGTGATCTTTAATATTATTATACTTAAATACTTAAAAAAATATTCATTCACACCATGATATTTGTGTACAAGAAGAAGACAATAAGCAGTGTACGAACATAATCCGCTCATTACAAGTATGAGAATAATACCAGGGAAAAAACCAGCCATTTGAATACCCCATGGTATTGTTAATAATGATGAACCTAATATGGTATTCCATATTGCAAACCTGTGTACATATGTTCATAAAATTATGTTGAACAAGTCATAAAAATTAGTAATTGCCTAAAATAAATTTTATTTGTAATTCTACGCAACTGTATTTTAGTGATGTTTTTTTAGGATGAAGGGTACTTTTGAGGAAAATGAGTTTGTTTTTATCATTAAAATGTATTTTTCATAAAATGTTTTGAATTGTTTCTCCCGAAATGTAATAACCCTAATTTGAAACGGTTTATAATCATTTTTGTTGCAATTCAAGGTTGCATAGGTGAAATAGGAATGCCAAAAAAATGGCGGGTACGATTTAGCTGTTAGCTACGGGCATTGACCTTTCGGGTGGTCGTCTGTTGCCCAGGCAACCGACAGAGCACTAACCCCTTCTAAAGCGAATTCTGCTGTGTAGTAGCAGACACAACCACCCGATGGTTGCCGAAACGTGAGCGACCGGTAACCGCGTTCGCCTCGTTTTAATTCGTTTCCATGTCTTAAAAGCATACATCTGTCAAACTTTTGAATTTACTCTATAATAAAAATAGAAGCAAAATAACCCATTATACATATATCTACTTCAATGTCTCTTTTTTGCAATTCGAACGTTTCCTCTGTGAAAATGCATGTATGCTTTTAAGATGTGGAAACGAATTATTGTTAATTCAGTCCGAAAACAATAACTACAAATTCAATAATTAATAGTAGTGAAATGTAAGGTCGTAAAAATAGTATTGAATTTTTACAATTTTTAATAACTAATAATCTAATAAAATTGTGAGAAAACGAATTTAATCAAGGGTGGGTAAGTACAAATTTTTTAAATTTTCGATACCGGAATTAGATTCTAACAGAGTATTTATTTAACCCCGAGATAATTATACGTAATAATGTAATATATTTAATACACAAGAGATATGTTGTGCTATTTATAAAACTCCATGAATAGCCACAGTTTCTTTTTTATCTTTTTAAACAGGTCAAAGGTACACAAAATTCAGTTATCTGGAAACACATAAAATTTTGTATAAATAGTTCCTTCTTCCAGAGGAATGATCTTGTTGCAAGCATGTATTGATTTAACACAATCAAAATGCATATAGGAATTTCTGATGCAAGATTTAATTTTTCTATCATCATCGACCTACTAAAAATATAATGTCTGGTGAGAGATAAGAAAAAATTTATGAATGTGATTAGATTTCAGAACGCAATACTAAGTGTATTGACCCAGAACCCTTTGTTGATGGTACCATAGATAGCTGATAATAATTTGTAATTACTAATACAATATATCATTGTGTTAAATGTAATCTTCTGTTTATCGTTGAGTTAACGTGAACGAGTTTTGCAGTAAATCCCTTCAATATATCCTGTTTTCATCTCTCTATCTCTATTAAATAGTAATTTTGAGTATCACTTACACAGTTACTAGAGAACTTTGCTTTGATTTCTCCTCGCATGTGTTACGTGTACTTTCCTGTTCCAATGATGGAGATAAATATCTGCTTGTAAAATCATTCAGCAAAGACTTTTTACCAGTTGATTCACATGTGTCATTA